TCTTGTTTATGTGTAAAGGCCAAGAAAGCCATCCTTGATGACCTTTTTTTGCCCGCTAAGAATATTTCTCAAGTAAAATCATGTATAATATTATTATTTATTGTAGCTAGCATTACACACACACACACACACACACACACACACACACACACACACACACACACACACACACACACACATATATATATATATTACAATACATTATATTATATTTGACACTCAGAGCCAAAACAAGAAAAAAATAAAACGAAAGGAATAATAGTAAGTGTACGGGGGCAAGAAAATTTATGAAAAAAAAAATAATGATGTCATTCGACACATGTGCACATACACACTTGTACAGGCATACATAGACATACATACACACGCGTACACACACAGACACAGACACACGCACGGAAACACAAAAAAAATGTAAAAAGCAAACTGCCCCCACTAAAAAGCGCATAAGTAATTTTTTTGACTTGATATAAAAATAAAGAAAGCCAGAAAAATCGGCAGACCACGGCTGATATCTTCTGACGAGTGAACCGACTGATTACAAAATAGTTCGTTTAAGAATCTCTGGAGTTGGGTTGCTGAATATAACATCAATCAGCTAAGCGACAAATTATATATTTGTATTAATCTCATATATATATATATATATATATGTGTGTGTGTGTGTGTGTGTGTGTGTGTGTGTGTGTGTGTGTGTGTGCTTGTGTTTGTGTGTGTGTGTGTGTGTGTACTTTAAAAATCAGAAGATCAGTTGAATCCGCTATCTTAGTTTCAACCTTACGGTATCCTCAGGCGATTTTTATCACCATACTACATAATGCATTATTTTTTAAAACCTAATGAACGCTATATTATGTTTTTCAACAAATAAATAAACAAACGCACATCGTTGGATGTAATAGAAAGAGCGGAGGAAGATGTGAAGAAGGAAGAAGAGGAAGGAGAAGAAGAAGGGAGAAGAGAAGAAAAGCAAGGGTATTATAAAATATTTTGGCATGTGCGGATGGTGTAATGGATAGCGGCGCGAAATGAGAAATCGGGGAGCCGACGTCCAATTTTGGTTGAATTCGTTACATGTAAATGGCCATCTGATCCAATGATGCCCGTTGACTAGGGCGATCAACTGATCCTGCTCAAACACATTTGTGCTTGTTCAACAAACACAACTATGCAGCAACTATGCTGAGCAGACCTTAGTTACAGTTTCTGGGAGATCAACAGTCGGAACAAGGCTAGCACGCTCAAACCTTCGATGATGTTTCCAATTTCACTCACAAGGCTTGGATCCAGACCGATAACACTAAGTAGTCTCTTTCCTGACAGCTCGACCATGGTGACATTCGAACTCGTGTCTCATGGATAGAGATCGTTCTAACCACTGGGCCACGTGAATATGCATAAATAAATAAATAAATAGCCTCCTATATACGTATATGTATAATTATGTTTACTCATACATGTATATTTATAGGCATACATACCCAAACACTGAATCAGGATCAGGATCAGGTAGCAGGTCAATGGATGCCTATACCACGCTGTCAAATCTTGTCATCTCATGGCACACTATGCAGCTATGTCCAGTCTGTTTTGTTTTATCATTTCACCCCAAACAAAGCGATAATGCCATTGTAACGCAAGAGGTTACAGTGAGTTAATGAGAAGACTTTAGTGAAGAGAAAGGAGGAAAAGGACAATAAAGTAAAAGGGTTTAGGAAGATGTTGATTAACATTTAAACTTTTGAAGATTCTAGGTGGCAGGGTGGCAAGACATTGGAAAGCGAATTCCACAGGCAAGAAGTGCCAGAAAAGAAACTATTAGAATAGAACTGGCAGTTGCAACAGTAAAACGGTGAAACCAAGTTGCCAATCTAGTAGCACGCTTAAATTCATGCAGTCGAGGCAACAAGGAGAACAGTTCATTAGAATAAATGCCCTGAAAATATTTGTAAAAAAGTGTTATATACCGTACCTATGAACACTGTTGTGGTACGATCCACCTAATTTACATAGTGGCGTACCGACCATATAAATATGGTTGGTACCGGGAAGACGGGTGAGGAAGAAGAGATCCAATCCAGAGACTCTGCCCGACTGCGACTAAGTTAACCCATTCTACAGGAACGGTCTTCCCAAGAATATACCAAACTCTCTGTAAATATTGTGTATACTTTCTTTGTTCAATACATTTTGTTTCAGTACATTTTGTGTTGTATTATTATTATTATTCCATGCATTATTAAAGTTTCAACAAACACTAATGGGTATGTCCCATTCTATGTAAACACATTTGACATTATTGTAAGTGGCGGGTAATATGCTGTATAAGTAGTCCACCATTAGGAGTGGTTTACCTACTTCACGACGCTGGCGAGTATAGTATTTTGTTGATGATATAAAGATTACCATTTCATTTCCAACATCCGTTTTGGTTATTCCTTATTCAGTAACCCTTTCTAGGTTACAACAAAAAGACAGAGGGAAGCCACGTCACGACTGTGAGAAAGTGACTGAGGTCAAGATGCCAGGTCAGGACCAATAACATTACAGGCCCTTCTTTGGATTTTGTTAACAATCTCCATATATATAAGGTAGGAGCAGACCTAGCAGTTGCCTATCAAGGCTATAGGACCCAGTCTGTCCTGCTATTCAACCCACGATTGGGGGAGAAGAAGATTTAAATCTAAAAGTTTAAAATTTCAGCGTCCCTTCTACTTTGACTGGATGTGTAGTTACATCAACGTAAACATCACTTAAGGCCGAAACGCGTCACAGGAAATTCCACTTTGTCATTCATTATTCAAACTTCATAGTAACACGCTTCGAGAAGAGACATCTTTTGACAAATAGCCGTTTTATTGGTGGAATGAGTTTTATGTATAAAAAGGAGGAAGAGGTAGCAAGAGATAAATATGGAAAACGCTGGTTTACATCGAATAAGTTATGCTTAACATTTAAATTAAATTTTTGACATCCGTTGTCCCTTGATGTCATGGATAATTCGCTTTTTAAGCTCAGCGCTAAATATGTAGTAAAAAATTGGCCGAATAATTATATTTAGGTGTAAATTTATATGCCCAATTCGAAAATAATAAAGAAATAATGAATAGAATCTACCTATTTGGCTTTACTAAATGGCAGCTGAAATTTCTGGGACACGTAATGAGAAAGAAAGGCTTAGAGATACTGATACTCACAGGGTGAATAGAAGGAAAGAGAGACAAGGGAAAGCAATGCGTGACATACCTAACGGGCTTAAGCAAATGGATGACGGAATAGGGTTAATGAGAAGTAGCAAAAGGACAAAACATATTGAGAACTACAAGGGATATTGGAGAAGTGGAGAGCCATGACTGCCTACGTCCTGAAGGGACACGGCACATAAAAGAAGAAGAAATGTGAAACATGTTAGATTAATAAACGTTTCCTATTTATTCTTTATCTTATTATTCTGTCGGATTCCGACTCATGTTTGATCGATATTTGGTCCCACCTCATATGCAAATAAGATGGGATAATACTCTATAATATCATGCAATATTTATCGGGTAATTTACTTTTTAAGCCCCGCGCTAAATATGTAATAAAAAATTGGCCGAATAGTCATATTTAGGTGTAAATTTATATGCTTAATTCGAAAATAGCAAAGAAATTTTGATAAAATCTACCGTTTAGGATTTATCGACAATAAAATTTCGGACTCATTTGCGTTACGGAACGGCAGCCATTACTGGCGATGTTTGTATACATTCTCTGCTGATTAGTTTTGCGCGGAAGCTTACATCATTAACGGCCTTTTTACGGTTCTTACTTGATTCAATTACTGCGCAACTGAGGACTCACGGCGTGCGGAATAAAAAGGTTATTCCGCAGTAAATATATGCAAATAACGCCAGTAATGACTGCCTCGACGCGAATGAGTCCTAAATTCTATTGCCAATAACTTCAAATCGGTAGATTTATATATATATATATATATATATATATATATATATATATGTATGTGTGTGTGTGTGTATGTGTGTGTGTGTTTGTGTGTGTCTGTGTGTGTTTCGTTAAAGACGACTAAAAAGGTACTGCGATTAAGCTTTTTATTTAATTTTTTTCCACCCCCAAATTTTCACTTATAAAAAATGATTTTATTATGTAATTCGTGTATCAAGCGAGTTCCTTTTTTGAGAGACTAAATTACAATAGACTAACCTCTTTTCCTCTATCTCTTTATCCCATCTTCTAGTTAAATAAGTTAAAAAAGTCAAAGAGAATGATAAAAATATTGTTAGTAACGCTATACTCACATGTACAGTCATAAACAACCAAACAAGTAACAGCTAAAAATCTTATAAACAATAGAAAAGATGCATATTCACTATGTTTGTATTTTATAATACGATACTAAAATGTGAATATTACATGCATTATTATTGGATACAGTTTAGTAAACACCAGGTTTATCAAAATCATGTTTTTTAAAAATACAGCTGTAATTTCTTTGTAATCCGTAACACATACATAATACAAGTAATAACAGAAAGACTTCAATGTAAAATAATAAAGTATTTAATTACCAAACGCAATTAAAATAAATTAACAACAAAGAACTAAAGAGTCAACAGAAAGATCAATGATTATTTATCAGTTAATACACGACTACGTAGAGCTTCTAAGAAAAGTACTAATTCGTCTTGAAACGTGTTAAACGACTTTAGCATCAGGGTTCACACAATAGTCAAACACGTAATTGTAACCGCTACAAGGCCGGATGTGGCACAAGGCCGATTTTTAAGTGTGGTGAATCCGAGACCGACGGCTCACGCAAAAATAAATTCCCCGTAGACTCCGCATACATGGGGTCGGTTTGGTGTACCACCCCAGACGAGACTCTGCCCGTAGGCATAGCCCCATCTGGGTTCCTCACTGCCCGAAGGTAGAGAGTCCAACACGTGAGTGGACAACACATAATTGTAACCACTCAGTCAGTGGCATATCTTTATTTATAGTAAATGGCGGTTTACATTTTCTATCTATCTATCTATCTATCTATCTATCTATCTATCTATCTATCTCTCATAGTATTCATACCTCTCATTTTATAAGTCCATCTCAATCAATAAAATACATTGCCTTCCTGTTGAGGTGTTTATTTTTAATGTATCCTTCTGTTTACATCGTAAACTCAAATAGGCTCAAACCAAAAATAGACAAATTTCATATTCAAAGCAATGTCTTGCTAAGGAACAATTTCTTAACCAGTCTCCAAGCAACTTTGAAATCCTTTCGCCAGTCGTAAATGCTTTTTATTATTCCTTTCCTGTGGCCACGGCACAAAGAATATCTTTCTGGTTTTATAATCAAAGTTTCAATGTTGTTTATTTGCCCGCAGAGAAAGAAATTCTTCAGCAGGTTTTGTGTTTTTGAAAATTTCATTTTGCATTATTTACAGACGCAAACAACTTAAGTCGGATTTTGACATTTTTTTTTTTAAGCTTTTACAGCTCGTTTGGCATAACGTCTCCTTGAATTATCTGCCCTCCTTTGGTGACACTGCATGGGAAAAAATCTTTTACAGGAAATTATTGTTATCTATCTATCTATCTATCTATCTATATATATATATATATATATATATATATATATATATATAAGTATATATATGTAAAACTATAGTATAAATTTATACTATATTTATGGGTTAAAATGTTCAATATCAGGATAGAGCTTATGTAAATATAAAGTAGACATTGAAGATGGACAAAAGATTGCGTTTAATTATGAAACAGACTGTCGCCGCTGCGTGTTGATCTCAATATCCACACACACACACACACACACACACACACACACACACACACACACACACATATATATATATATATATATATATTGTGTGTATTTAGGCATTTAAGAATATTTGTAGAGATTTCATAATTTATTTTGTTCAGATTAGGTTTCAATGTCTATAATTGGTAACAGAAGCGATGCATTGGTTTATACCAACGGCTTCCCATACTTAATACTTCTCGAATTCACTCTCTCGTGGCCATGTGTGACGTCTTGAGCTGCGGTGCGATTTTCGCTTCCAGCGTCTTATATATATGAACGTGTTTATCGCTGCTTGGAAATCATCCACGTAGACAGAAACAGACTATCATCACTTTCTTGTCCGTGTATTGCTTAATATATTGTAATGTAATTGTCATCTTTGATAATGGCTTATGTAAGCGGAAATCTTAGATTGGATTAAAAAATATGGATCATTATTGTGATTTTCTTTCTTCTTTTAATGATAATGTTATTAAGCTTATGACGTTATGAAAAGAATTTACATAAAATAGACAAAACTTGTCTATATTATTTAATAAAACATGTATGAATATATATATATATATATATATATATATATATATATATATATACAAATGTAAAAGAACGAAGAATAAAATTGCAACGTACTAAACATTAATTTCTTTTCTTACAATTATTTTGGTAGTAGGGTTAATTTCTTATGCTTTCTTTTGCCTTTCTTTTCTTTCCTCTTTCTTTTTCTTTTATTGATTTTTTATTTTCTTTCCTTTTTCTTTATAAAAAATCCTTTTTAATTTGTACTGAAAATTTTACAAAACCGGAAAATGATGTGATGTTTCATAAATTGCAATTTTTAAATGAAATCATTTATTACCATCATTGTTAAGTACCTGATGATACGTTGTTTATTAAACGTCGAAACAATATGTACGATTTTGTAGCAGTAACATATCAGTAGCATATATATATATATATGGTGTATATATATATATATATATATATATATATATATATATATATATATATACACCAAATTGTAATTGTTAGGGATTATTCCAAAGACGACTTTTAGTCCATATGATACAGAGAAAATTATAATAATAATTAGGAAAAATACGTTAAAGATCCATGTTCGGTAACAAATTTATTTTATGAAATTCATCGAAATAAACTTTTTCACCGGATATGGATTTGTAACGTTTTTTCATATATATATATATATATATATATATATATATATATATATATATATATATATATATAAGGATTAAATCCGACAATATATATGGGGAAAATATTTGAATAAATACTATGTTTTTAATTAAGCATTATTACTTATATTTACTGGCTTGAATATTCGTGAAATTTCGCAGAGAATATGCGTCCTTCGAGAGGGATGGAACCTGCATCCCGTGCGGAAACAGTCGTTTTGCCTCGGCCTGCTGCTAACTGACTCAACCACACTTCCAATTGAGTAACGCTCAAATTACTTACACATATCTTCTACGACCTTCCTTGATAATTCATTTCTGCTCCGAAACGTAATTTAACGTAAACAATGACAGCATGTTATATGTAATGGAATAAATCCGACGACTATTTTAATATATTTTCTGTTTATACGTTATTTTTATGGGAACAACTTATTTGAGTAAATGCTGTTTTTAATTAAAGAGTATTACATTTACCAGACTGAATATTCGACAAATAACGTATAAACAATATATATATATATATATATATATATATATATATATATAGGGCTAGTAATGCCACCTCGTAAAAACCCTACTCACTACGGACACCACAACTTTCACACAAGTGGCATTAGGTAAATTACGATTCCATGTGTCCCTCAATCAAGCTAAATTAGCAGAGCTGACTGGGCTGTCTAGTCTACAGCCCAGTCTAGAAAATAATAATTGGCAAGTGAATGGGCATGGGGCTGGTAATTCTACCCCGTAAAATACTACCTGCTCGGGAAACTAAAGCTTTCACACAAATACCTTTAGGAAAGGTATGAATCCATCTCTCCGTTAACCAAGCTATGGTTGTCAACCAGTCTAGGAGAATGATAATTCTGAATTCAAAATGAACTTACTACGGAAGCCACTGCGACAACACTAGCTTGTTTTGTCTCTACTCACTTCTATATGTATGTAAATTCTATTTCATTCAGCTGATGTCTTACAACTCTGTCACAAACATCAACTCCTGTTTCCGCCCATGTGTTCATTTGTTTTGTTGTGAATTTTCTATTTTCAAAACATATTACTTTGACTTTTCTATCGTGACACCTTGACGCCGTCCGCTGTCTACACGTATGTTTTCTTTATCTAACCTTACCATTTTGTTTAAACTTGCACTAGATTTCTGACATAGTTGATTGGAGACTGTCAACATCGTTGAGCACACTTCATGTTGGACTTCCATCGCGAAAATGTTTTAATGGTTGCCATTGTCTTAATTGACAATGCTATTGTTGGAGTTGTGTTTCTTTTCAATTAACCAATTCCACCAGATCATTAACGCTTTTCTGAAATGCAAACCAAGATGCAAATTTAAACATGCACTCGTTCTTGTTTTAGAAATACAGGATCACTAGACGACCGCATTACTTCATTTTTCTTCCACTTGACAAGGAAAAATATGTGATGTAATTAAATGTAGTAGTGCTCGTGAAAATTTCCCATTTGAATTATCTGATGAATCATAATTCTTAAGATGATAATTGAATAAGCTCCTTGCGAGTTCCATGACTATAAAGTACCCGCAGAAATACCCCTCTTGTTTCGATAAATATCTGAGATTAACAAGTTTAACAAAATATTTCAATAACGATGATAGGTATGAATGCAAGTCATTATTTTAAAAAGTAAAAGCGTACAAATAAAAAAAAAATTCGGAATTGACAAAATGACGGGTTAAATAATAGTAGAAGTATACTGCTCTCTGTAGCTTTTGTTGGAAACCAGTCTAGTAGAATATGATACACAATTTTTGTGCATATAAATGTTTGTGTAAACATAATTCTATAGGCAGTGATATGTATGTTTTATGTTGTAGTTATATTTTGGAATACAGTTTGATTTTTTAAAGAAATTGTAAGCTATTTGTTATGATGTTGATTTGGGGTTAGTAGAGACAAACGCCAAATAACACGTAACAATAAAAAGGGTTTTAATAGGTTGGTAAAAAGGTACAGAAATCGCCTGAGTAGTCAATAACTAGCTCAGCTAAGAACTTATCGATCCACCCACGAGGATTGAATGTGGCACAAGGACGAGTTTAATGTGGGTTGGATCCGAGCCCGTAGGCTCGGCCAAAAATATAGCCTTTGAACCCGCCTAGACGGGTTCAGGCCCTGTCTACCTCCCCGGACGAAACCTTGCCCTTCGGCAAAGCTTCGTCCGGGTTCCTCTCTGCTAACGCAGAGAGTTCGACAGACGTCGGAAGTCGGAAGTCGGAAGCCAGCTAAGGACTTCTCTGTCTATCTCTCTTTTGACATGCCACTATTTAAAGTCTTTGTTCGCAGACAAGTTCATCTTCCAGAGGGGTGGCAGGTTTCCGACACAACACTATTATATGATTTAATGTGATGAAAGATCTTTCATGTTGGCGGTGTGGTTGATTTTGTTTAGCGGCATATCTCCCTCTATGGATTATTTAATCCCACACTCTAAATACCGTGACGAAGCTGTGGCCGTATATTTTTTACAGCGGATAGGGGTTTGATAACTCTGACGAGGAGGAAGAGCTGGAGGGAGGATGTAAAAAACCTGGATGCTTCCCGTCAGAGCGTGATGACTTTTGGTCTGGTTTTCTCTGGGATCAACCCCTACATGCACACATGATGTTGAAACGCCGTTTCTCGTCTGATCAGCAAAATTAAGCAACGTCGAACCTGGTCAGTAGCTAAGTGGGTGACCTCTCGAGTCATACCAGGTGCTGTAAGCTTGGGGATATAAGGGTGGTCTAATGGATAACGGCACGGAATGAGAAATCGGAGAGCTGGGTTCGAATTCCAGTCACGTTCGTTATATTCACTTACGTGCAAATATTCTTGGGAATGAACACACTTCTTCTCTCCCCCAGCCGGAGGTTAAATAGTAGGATTGCATCAGGAAATCATTATTATCTCTCCAAAATTCGTAAAGTAAAGAAATATGTTTCGGCTTTAAATAAGCTTCAAAATAGTTGAAATACTGTAAAAAAATAAATAAATAAATAAATAAAATTCAATCAACACACATTGATAAATAGATAGATTGTTTGTTTGTTTCTTTTATTTGCTTAACGGCATATAAACTCTTTATGGGTCATTTAATGCCAAAATTTAATTTTCCAGGTAGCTTTGAAGTAATAAAAATATAATATATTATTCTGCTTTCACAGTTGAATACATGGTAGATGATACACAGCTTTTGTGCACAGAAATGTTCGTGTAAACATAATTACCACAGGCGGTGATATGTATGTTTTATGTTGAAATTATATTTTGGAATACAGTTTGATTTTTTTTAAGAAATTGTAGGCTATTATATGGATTAATGACATGAAAGATCTTTCATGTTGGTTGTGTGGTTGATTTTGTTTAGCGGCATATCTACCTCTATGGGTTATTTAATTTCACAATCTAAATATTTTGAACACAGTCTTATGGCCTTAACTACAGATAAAATCTATTGCTGGTATTTTTACTACAAAAATGTATTCTTCCACTATCTTGTTCTTGTTAAATGTTTGCTCATAGATGAGACCCTAACAGTTGCTACCATCCGGGGTCAGAATGAACCTGGGGACAACAGAGGCTGTTCCAAGCCCCTCAAAACCTTCAATCTCTCGATCAGAGGCCTTGCTACCGGATGTAGTTTATCACCTTACCCAGGACTAGATAGAGATAGATAGTGATTTCTAGTATATATGATTTCTGTGCAAAATAGCTTAATGGTTATCAGTACTTAAAATGGAACCAGCAAACCTAGTTCGAATTTCATCTCACCCCTACCCTGTAACCTGTAACGGCATTCACCCGGGGTGGGTTGAGCCGGCTCCAATATTGGAGTTTCATGAGAATTTGGAATTCACAAGCGGTCCGCAAACCCGCATGTATAGGCTTCAGATCAGTTCCCAGGAAACCGACAGCCCACCAACAGCACATGAGAATTGATTATAGTGGTGAAGGTTTCGTGCAGGACCATCCACACTTTTTGAAGGTTCCGATTACAGAGACCTGTTGCACTACGGCCAAACGGCCCTCCGCAAGTTTTGAATTTAGAGTTTTTCCTTCTCCTAGGCTAGAGAACCCATAGCTGGGGGAAGAAGAAGAGGATTCACACCTTTCCCAAGGGTATTAGCATGTAATGGATTCGACTGGAATTCGAACTCGGCTCTCCGATTCCTCAATCCAAGCCGCTATCCATTACTCCACCGTACCTCCAATTTCATCTCAGTCCCGTTTGTATTGATTAATTTTAAATGTCAGTGGGAAAGTGATTGATTCAATTCGCTGTATCCAATTGCCACATATCATGACATTTTTTTCGGGCATTACTCTTTGAGGCGAGTAGCATTCGTGCAGACCATTCTCCCATGACTTACTGCCTTGGCAAGGAATATAAGTAAAGAAAATTTGTTGCACCATTAATAAGTCCAGTTATGTGCAAGCATTTTTTGCCTTCATTCCGCTTTTTTAAGTAAAATTATTTATTATATCGGAATAAAGTGTCGCTGCCGAGTTTGAACATAGATCGCCAGTGAGCAAACACAGGCGATCCCATTCTTGAATTAAGTAGATCATGTGACCATAGAGAAAACGTATAAGTAGGAAGTCGCATGACGCCTAAATGATCGCCCTTCTGAGTTTATCCTCTATTACTATATGGACCGCTATTCTCGACTCTATTCACTATACTATTCTCTATACTGAATACTATTCGGTAGTTACTATTCGAGCGAGTATTATCAAGCAAGTACTATTAGTGCTAGTCGAAGGAGTCTGACATCAGCATTGTTCAACGGCGTTACTATAGTTGTATCTGCGATTACAAAGTCTCTACTACAAAGAGCATTACGAAAGTGACAACCAATGTTTGTTGACATTACAAAATAATTCGATAATCCTTATGAGTGCCGAGGTTAAAAAGAAAATCCGTTACAATTTAGAATATCTTAATCCGCAACCTTTGACTGCAATAATTCAATTAATTCTAATCCTTGATATCTTCTTTTTATTTTTGTTATTCATCGATGGTTCTTAAAGATCAATCCAATAAAACGTATTTCTTATAAACTGTGATTCGACATGAGCGATCTGGCTAAGTGAAAATATTATACAGGATGTCCATAAAGTTCGTGTGCACTTTAAAAAATTATAACTTTATTTGTATATGCGATAGAAATAATCTGTAAAAAATGTTATGAAGTTTAATGTACCTAGTTTTAGGCATAACTAAAATAACTAATGTGACTTCAGGCATTACTGTAAATCAATTGGCAAATGTTTTCTGTGAACTTGTTATATATATATATATATATATATATATATATATATATATATATATATATATATGCACAATCAGTTATAAGCAGGATGAATTTGCCTTTACAAAACATTATTAATAGATTAACTGAGATCGCTTGGATGTAAAGATTATTTGGACAGTTCTTACATGCTGTAAAAAGGAAACCGCGTTTAATAATGCAAGAAAATATTATAAAGGTTAAACGCAATCCCTTGTCACACGTTTTCAATGAAACATGTATAAAAGTGGGATTGCTTCACAAATACGCTATATATATATATATATATATATATATATATATATATATATATATATATATATATATATATATGGGCGAGTGTGAGTATTAGTATGCCCTCACACACACATATAATTTATACATAAATGAATTGTATCTCTAAAAAATAATGTATAAACAGAAAATATATTGAATATACAGGATGTCCATAAAGTTCGTGTGCATTTAAAAATATTTATAACTTTATTTGCATTTGCGATAGAAATGATCTATAAAAATGTTATAAAGTTTAATGTACCTAGTTTTAAGTATAGCTAAAATAACTAGTGTGATTTCAGGCATTACTGTAAATCAGTTGGCAAATGTTTTCTGTGAACTTCAAAATCGTATTACCCTTTGTATTGCTAATGATGGAGGACATGTTGAAACTTAAATAAAATTTCAATAAAACCTTAAAAAATATATATTTAGTTCTTTCTAATCCTGTTTACAAATTATTTCTATCGCAAATACAAATAAAGTTATAAGTTTTTAAAGTGCACACGAACTTTATGGACACCCTGTATGTTCACAAATCAGCGCAAAAAATATTAATGTCAAATATTTTGGGTGAAGAATTTTCTTTAAATGCCAATGATTGACGAATTCATAGAGTGACAGACCGACAGTTACGGAAAGAACTTAATGTATTACATGAATCATTGCCGAGGCGAATCGGCCAATAAGATCGAAAAGAGGATATTGAAGATTATTATTATTAGTAGTAGTATTTTATGGAAGCTATTTCATTTTTTGTATTGCTTTTGTTTTATTCATTTATTGGTTTCTATGAAACAGATTAACAAGCATGAAACAGATTTCCAAGGTCGACATAATTCAATAAGAACCTAGACACTTCAACAAATATTCAAAGGCTTCATTTATTTGGTAAAAAGCCAATTAGAAAGCAGCAAAAATTGCTCGATGCTCACATAATTAAGTGATGTTTGTAAACATTCAGTTGATAACTATCTATCTATCTATCTATTCTCTGGTTTCGCATTTGTCAGTCTGAGTTTTCCTATCTACCTATCTCGCTCAGATTTTATATTTGTCTGTCTCAGTTTTCATATCTATCTATCTATCTATCTATCTATCTATCTATCTATCTATCTATCTATGTCAGTCTATTCATATCTATCTATCTATCTATGTCAGTCTATTCATATCTATCTATCTATCTATCTATCTATCTATCTATCTATCTATCTATCTATCTCATGTCATCTATCTATCTATCTATCTATCTATCTATCTATCTATCTATCTATCTATCTATCTATGTCAGTCTATTCATATCTATCTATCTATGTCAGTCTATTCATATCTATCTATCTATCTATCTATCTATCTATCTATCTATCTATCTATCTATCTATCTATGTCAGTCTATTCATATCTATCTATCTATCTATCTATCTATCTATCTATCTATCTATCTATCTATCTATGTCAGTCTGTTCATATCGAGCTAGCTATCTCAGTTTTCATATTTGTCTAAGTCTTCATATCTATCTATCTATCTATCTATCTATCTATCTATCTATCTATCTATCTCAGTCATTTCAAGTATCTATCTATGTATCTATGTCAGTCTGTTCATATCTATCTCATTTTTCATATTTCTCTATCTGTCTCAGTCTTTACATCTATATTTGCCTGTTTCGGTCTTCATATCTATCTATCTATCTATCTATCTATCTATCTATCTATCTATCTATCTATCTATCTCAGTTTTCATATTTGTCTATCTATCTATCTATCTATCTATCTATCTATCTATCTATCTATCTATCTATCTATGTTATTCTTCACAAATACGCATTCGTACGCATGCGCGTAACTATCCCCGCACGCATATATTTCTCTCTGTATCTATTTGAATCAAATCATCCATTTATCTTTTTCTATTTCTTTTCGTCTGAAGACAAAGTCGTATGAATTTCAAAAGAGCAAATGACAAAAAGTAAAAAACAAAACAAAAACAAAACAAAACAAAATACAAAACCAAACCAAAACAAAACGAAAAAACAAAAAAACTAAAAACAGTCACATGCAGACGCTAACACATTCAAACATACATACCGCACAATCACATGTAAGTTAAAGCAGGTGTACACCTATATGCAATATGACACGCTCACATGCATAGACACACGCACCCACGCCGAACCGCGCCCCAGCCATATTTATATTTTTCTTCGGGGCTAAAATGAAAAAACTAAGTCGAAAAATATAAAATATATCAAATTTGAAAGAAAGAAAATAATAGCAATGGGAAAACAATGTTAAAATCATTTTTTTTTTTTTTTTTGAGAATTTATCTTTCTTCGTACAATTTTCTGTCCCCAGGAAAAATATACAAAATACGTAAATAATTTCTTTATTAAAAGATTGAGTTTTCTTTTTTTCTTCAGAAAGCTATCTTTGGGAAAATATATCTATTTTCAGGAAATTCAATTGTATTGTTACGTTTGACACAATTGGCACCATCACACATCGCCTCCAAAATTGACTGAATTTTCATCTACTTTGTTTCGTTTTGCTTAAGGTTGTGTGCGACGGCGGCACTCCACAATTTCCTATCCTCTTAGAGGCGTTTGTCTTTTTTTGTACTATCCCTTTGATCCCCCTTTTTCCCCATTCACACAAGCTTCTCATGTAGGTAGACCGTTGCCCTGCCACCTGTCACATTTGCCTTCGATATTTCCTGTGAGTGTCAAATTTTCCGAGCTTTCTTTCCTCATCATATGTCTAAGATATTTCAGCTGTCTCTTTGTGATTCTGAGTAGTTTTTCTTTCTTCTTTCCATCTTCATTAAGATCTTTTTGGTGCTTACCCGCTTCGTCTTTCCTGTAGAACCTCTATTTGTGTGGACACCAGTCTTCTCTTCATCCGTGAGGAAATTGACCAGTATTCATCGCCGTATTGGAAGAAGGATATTACAAAAACAGTTCAAACCTATCTTCTTGGTCTCTAATGAACATTAATTGTTTCATAATACTTTGCTTTTGGAAGACATCTTCTGTTATTGTTATGCATCTTCGGATTTCGGTGTCACATTTCCTGTCCTCTGTTAAAACACTTCTCCGATATTTTCTGTACTTATTCGATGTTGACATCTCCAAATTTTCTTTTTTCATTTACTGATAATTTACCCAATGCAATGCCCAAGGGCCACTCATGGTAGAGGGTTACTGTGTAAGATTGTAAAAGGAAAGCGGGGAGTAAGGGAGTATTATGAGGACAAGTAGTTGGTTGTACTTGGATATATGTGCGAATGTGTATCTGTTTATTTGAGAAGAATAATAAGTACATAGATAAATCTATAGATATAAAGACTTAGACAGATAGACAAATATGAAAACTGATAGATAAATATGAACAGACTGACATAGCTACATAGATAGATAATTGAAATGACTGAGATAGATAGATAGATAGATAGATAGATAGATAGATAGATAGATAGATAGATAGATAGATAATGAGGAATTAAACAAATATGAAAACTGTGATAAATAGATAGTAGTTACCAGGGAATCATTCTCTGGGGAGTTTGTTCCACAAAGTTCTTGAGAAGAAGCTGTTTGATTGAAACTTGCTTCTTAAATTAACACGAAGGGAACGAAGGATATGGCCTGCCACCGTGACGACTGCATGGTGAGTCCTATCGCTCTGAATGTCGGAAGAGGTAGTACTAAGGAATGCAACTCGCCCGAACATCTGCCATAGTTATAGCGATATAGCAGTGAATGGCTGTCAACGTCTCTGGATTAAGTGTTGCAGGGTGAAGAATAATTCATCACCCTCAGGCTGCTCAGTGATGGTTGACACTACCACCTTTGTCTGTTCTGAGTCTTATAAAATATGGAGTCACGGCAGTGATGAGTTAGGTATTTATTGATGCGATACAAGGGTACCGACCATTCTTCTGCAATGGCAGAAATATAAGCATTCCGTTTGAGATCGGAGGTGAGCTTTAGCCCCCCCCCCAGTTGGCTTTCGAAGCAAGAGGCCTCTTTGGGGGTATGATCACTCATCAGGGTTAGTGCAGGTTTAGGGCCAGTGACAATGAAATGTTACGAGTTCAGTTTTGGATATATCAGCCCGTCTTTTCCGCATTGAGCAGTGAGAGCTCGATCAGAGGAGAAATCAGCTGTCAGGCACTGATCATCAAGTTATTTAGGAGGGTGCACCTTTACACTGTGGTATCATTTGCCTATATATTTACTAAAGATCTGACAGTGTTCTTGGTCAGTTCAGTTATGTGCCATGCGTGATACACGCGTAGGCGGTCATGTATCTTTCGATACATGACTGACGAGGCAGATTTTTCCCTGCAGTAGGTTGCTATTTCTTTCTGTAGTAGACTAGTTGCCATCCAAGTCTCTAGAACCCGGTCTGTCCTGCTATTTAACCATAGCATTGAGAAGAATAGGATTCATACTTTTCCCAAGCACGTAAGTGAATGTAATGGATTTGACTGGAATTCGAACTCGGCTCTACGATTCCTCAATCCGAGCCGCTATCCATTACTCCGCCGTACTATCGTTAATATAAAGCAGTAGAACCGAAGAGAGATCTCATGTGCCCCAGAGTATTGGCCATTAACTCTCACCTTCGTTGACCTACCTGACATGGTAACTGAAAATACTCTCCTAGTGATTCAATAGTTTGTCAATTTGTGTTGAAATTCCCTGTGTCACACCTTATGAAAAGCTGTCCAGATATCAACGACAATCGCTCTCGAGAGATTTTTTTTTATTGTTAAGAGCTTCGCGGATTATATGCGTGATAATACTCATCAGCAGTGGACTTAGAACTACGAAAAACTTACTGTTTGTCGCGCAGGAGATTGCTTTTGTTGAAGTGTTCAACAACTTTCGTGTTTACTACTGACTCTAAGGAAGCTGATTGGGCGATATTGCGATATTGGGGACTTCATTCGCTAACATGGGACGCACACTTCTCTTGAGAAACTTGGATTGGGAAATATTTCTTTTTAAAGCATCGGTTTCGCCAAGATTGGTGACAGCTCTGGGTCACGGTTCTGGAGAGGCATGGTGGAATAATAGAGAGTGGCCAGATTGAGGAATCGGAGAGTCAGATTTGAATTCCAATCGGTTCCATTACATTCACTTACGTGTTAATACCCTTGGAAAAGGTACGAATCCTATCCTTACTCTGTCTCAGTAGTAAGCCCCTGCCTAGGTATGATATCTCTGAGCCATGGAGAAGTTCTGTTGTCTGATTCCTGGGTTAAGTTACACTTTAACTTCAGGTAATTTCTCTCCGAATCCGGATTGGCTGGAGATAAACGCTATTCTTGGCTGGTGTTATCCGCTTCAGAGTCAAGGATCTGAGCCTTGAAGTAACTCCTAAGGAGGTTAGCCAGTCAGGAACTGCATAATATCGAGGGTACTGTACTGTTATTTTGTGGATGGGATCTAGACTGTGCATCAGTTTCCTGGGGTAGCGTTTCGAAACCATGAAGAAGTCTACAGCTATGGTTGAACTTTCTGGTGACTAATTTGGGTGTTTTTTTTGTTTTTTTTTACATATACCACTCCAGTTGTTGCTCCACTGTTACCTCGACTCCTTAACCAATTTCTAAAAAAAAAAAAAAAAAAACTAAAAACAAGGAGACCGTCCAGAGGAATTGCAGGAGATTCCGAAGTCGTCTGGAGGACGGGGTTAAAGCCAATGGCGATTTTATTGAATAAATTCACTCAAGATACGTTTGCGTAATTTTGGTAATTATATGTTAAAATGAGATGTCAGTATTATTTTCATTTTTGTGTAATTTATACGACAATTTATCCATCGCACCATGTATACACGTTGTTTTCACAATGAGATTGGAATTAATCATCATCATCATCATCATCATCATCATCATCATCATCATCATCCCTTCCATGACCTGGTGTGGTCGAAAGGTCACTGCGCAGCTGAGCACCCGACCTGTGGGTGTAAGCGTGTTGTTTGTTTATTTTCTTAGTTTATTTTTCCTGTTCTTGTATTGGTCTTCTTGATTTTTCTTTTCTTTTGGACACATGCCAGGCTTTTGGGATTTTTGTGGTATCTATCTATCTATCTATCTATCTATCTATCTATACACACATGTGATAATTTGATAACTTGTAATTCGATGTTTCCCGCCATCATAAAAGGAATGTCATTTCGCAAAAACAAAATCTACATTCGCAAAAAATCGTGAAACGTGTCAAATAAGTTTTCTAAATGGTCTTATACATTTGTTTTGCTGTTGGATTCTCGTATAACTTCCCTCTCTACCCTCTCTCTCTCTCTTTCACATATACACACACACATAAATATACACATACAAAGGGCTTCTCGGTGTGGCCTTCTTGGGTAAGACGATAAACTACATCCGCGTCCCGGGTAAGACGATAAACTACGTCCAGCAGCAAGGCCTCTGATCAGGAGGTTTTGAGGAGCATGAAATCACATCTTAATTGCTGGTGTTCCCAGGCCCACCCTGACCCGTGGTGGTAGCACCTGCTAGGGTCCCAGCTATGGGCAAATAGTTAACACCCACAAAATGGGATCAAAACACTATGAAAGTGTAAAAATAGTTTTTAATACCAGATATACTTTGTAAAAAATTATTACCAGCAATACATTTTCGAAAAACAAAATATTACCAGCAATACATATTTTGAAAAAAAATATTACCAACGATGGAAAATTCTTACCAGAAATAGTTTTTTGAAGGAAAATATTACCAACAATGAAAATTTTGTCGGCATTAAATAACCCATTGAGGTTGATATGCCGTAAACCAAACCAAACCAAACCAAACCAAACCAAACCAAACCAAACCAAACCAAACCAAACCAAACCAAACCAAACCAAACCAAACCAAACCAAACCTCGATGTGGCGTAATGGTTAGCAAGCTTGAATTGCTACAAC